ATATGCAAGGAGAGCACAGTCGGTTCATGAGTTTGCTCTAATTAGAGTCTTTGATTTATGCACTAAGAGCCTAATGGATTTCTATGTTTGCTCTCATTAGAGTCTTTGATTTATGTAAGGAGAGTTCTGCGGATTCTTTTGTTTGCTTCAATTGGAGTCTGTGAATCCTAAATAAAACAAGAGAAGCAAGTCAATCTCAAATCTTATCAGACTTCGTAGTTTATATGACACATCTCATGGACCATTTTCATTTATGGCTCATCCAATATCAGTGAAAGTGGAGAAGAATTCATCTTTGAAGGACAAGGATTCCTCACCATACGTTAGGTTATATGATTCAGTTTCAAAAGCAACAATAATTAGACATAGTACAAAGCTCTTATAACATGCCTGCAATTGGCTTGGGAGATATAAGTGTCACATCTCTAGATCAAAACTAACTCTCAACTAATCTTGAATAAACTCAAAAGATTATTAATACCAAGGAAATGAAGAAACTCTAGTCATCTACCCGAGTAAGCATAATTCACTTGAGGGGAAATTCAAAGAGATCAACATCACTCTCATCCATCCACGTGAAAATACTAAAGTCGACGAGTTAGAAAAATTGGCTAGCATTAAAGTATCTAGTAAACACAAGTCTATAGTATTTCATGCTTTGCAAACACCCATTGTTTCAAAATATAAAGAACCGCATAGATTACCTTTCAAACAATATATTTCCAGAGGTAACAAAAGCAAGCTCAAAAAGTTAAATGGGTTGTTGTGTCTTACACCATCATTGTTGATAGTTATAAATTATGGGAATTTTTCAACCTTAATTGTTTGGCTTAGAATAAAATGAATCAGAGTATGTTATAAAGGAAATTCATAAAGACGTTTGTGAAAACCATTATCGAGCTAGGACATTGGCCTAAAAAATTCTCATATCTAAATAATAATGTCCACCTATACAATTAAACTACAAGGAAAATGTGCAAAGTGATTTATGTCCTACATTGGCGCTCTAGCATCTCTTCAACATTTTTCTACACCTTTTCAACATTAATCATTGACTTCTTCTGCTAAAGCAACTTGTTGAAGTTTGTATTTTGTATATACAATTGACTTATCCTTTTTAATCTTCTCATTTTCAGAAGACATGTCATATTTCTTATATCCCACGACGACTATGATCGACTCATGCGATTGTTGGGAGGACATGGTAAGGTTAGTAGACATGAAAGCGTTATGAGAAGGAATAATGTGTGCGGTTGTAAAAATAGTTGGAATAGTTGTGACGCCCCTAACCTATAAAAGGCATTGGTCACATCATAAATTGGGTAAGAATAGTCAACGCCGATATCTCATTTTCCTTTTCTATCCACAAGGACAAAAGACTCTCCATGATTTTCCTTCACCCATCCCTAATATTATCAAGAACTTTCCTTGTGGATTTGACTTTAACTAATTCAACCAACTTTTTCTTGTTCATCTTAAGTGTCATTAAATGAATTCGGTTAATATGTGACCTAAGTCATAAAAACAGCACAAAGGTGGTTCTAAGATACTTAGAGAAATACTTCCAATTCAAAATGTCATTCTTAAACTTTATTATCTCAATAGATTTCATATAACGAATGGAATCTAGGTATTCAATAAAGTAGTAACGAGAAACAAAATAATTCTTCCAATTCAAAATGGCATACTTAAACTTTATCATCTCAATAGATTTCGCATAACAAATGGAATCTAGGTACTCACTAAAGTCTCTAGAAACAAAATAAACGATAAGCAAAAGGTAATTTCCACTTGGGTGCCACTTATATCCCAAATGGAATTAGATTTTATTAGAAAAGAAATTTGGGCTTGCCTAATTTGTTATAAAAAAAGTGAGACTCGCCGGGAATGAATGCTACTTTAAGGACTGACATCTAACAAACACATCACCTCAAATTCAAACTCAATAAAGAGTAGACAAAACACAATCATATTTGATAATGTTTGATAAAGATAGAATAAATTCAGTTCATCATTATTTCCCTTTATTTCACTTGATAAAACAAACATGGTTAGCCTTTGAGCACAGAAATGCATGAAGGTCAGAGAAATGGGAATCATTTTTCATTATAGGGAAAGGACGAAGACGGAGCAGAAATGAATTATGATTACACAAATGCTATCGTGGCACATTATTCTCCTTACTAAATCAATTATCATAACACAGACGTGCTATCAGGGAACATTATTTCCCTTGATAAATCAATTATGATAACACAATGCCAACAAAATAAAACTACTAACATCAACCCAGAAAAATTGACATGCTTCCAAATAAGACATAGTAGATGAATTTTCTATATATCAACCACATTTACTGAATATTAAAATAATGATAATCCAATATCATACACTTAAAAAGGGAAAGAAGAAGTTGCCTTTTGCATTAAAAATCTGGATACTTCTACAAGTTGAACATCTGATGGAAGTAACAGAATTTCATGAATGTTTCAACAATAAATATTCATTACGTTGAAGGAAAATAATCCTGCCACAATCAACCGATGGACTAAGCACTAAGCAGTGATTATAATGGGTAATTAATGAAGAATAACAATACATACTACGTAAAGTGATACAAATTCAAATTAAAACAATCACCTTTTTCAAAAAAATCCAACCAAGTCATTTGACTTCCATCCTTTCGAATCTTACACAAAAATCAAAAGACAGGTAAAAGAGTTCTAGCAATTTTCCATTATTGAAGAGACCAACACCATACTCTTCTCAGCACACAGAAAAATTAGTTCTGTTCAGCTGAGTGACCAACGTTGTCAGTTTCTTAAAAAGATTATACAAAAACAAGATTTCCCTCATTTCATTTGTCCCAAATGAAATTAGTTTAACTATTAGGAATGAACTACCGGGACGGACAACGTGAGAGATTGCATAAAATCCCTTTTGAGTAAACAGCTGCCGGAAAAAAAGAATCGCAAATTCCATAAATAGGGTACTAAACATGTTAGTTATTTAACTTAGCTGTTCTACTGGAAGATCCTTGCTTCCTTCAACTAAAAATGGAATTGGCTTCTTTGGGGCAGGTAGCCGTCCAATGCTATCAACCTTATCCTTTTGCTTTGGAGGAGGTCTAGCTGCTTTAGGCAACAATCTTCCCTTCTTCTCAAACCACTCGGGCTTCAACAGTGCCCGGAAGCCTAACTTATTGTAATACACCTTTCTCACCGAACCACCAGCTGCTTCAACTGCTTCCTTGGCCCTAACAGTGACCCTTGTTACCTGAAAACGCAAAATGTTAAAATACTTGTTGTGCTTAAAAAGTTTAAGTGTGTACAAAACCTTTACTTACGATCCGGATTTAAAAAATAAATACCAATTATGCATATATTTATCCCATTGACAAACAAAAGCATAACATATAATCATAATCTAAAACTATGCGAGTTTAATTGTTTATTTGAAAGTATAAAATGGAAAATACCTAGGAAAAATAGCTTATAAACTTTGAAGATTCAAGAGCTATACCAACTCTTCATAACAAACATCCAAATTCCAAACTCTCAAGCTAACTTTTTATTTCTTTATCCTTACACTAGAGAACATTTATGTTGACAAGGTTAAAATATGGATGCCCCCATTTTTAATGGTTTATGCTTTCCAATAGAGAAAGGAGGGTGCAGGCTCTCAAGCCAGCATCTAAATGATCATAAATAAATTATTTAACAAAGGTGAGAATAATGATTAGTTGTGAGCTTATGACCAGTGTTTAAATTCATGATATTAGATAGAGAAATGTTATAAAAAAATTTAAAAAGTATTTCTGAATGAATCAAAAAGCATTATTGTGGTCCTCAAAAACACTAATTACTTAGCCTTCAACTCAATATATACCTCTAGATGAATTGGCCATTGGATCTTCTCAGAACCACGCCCCATCAATCTTACTCCATCTTTAATTTGCTTCCCGAGTACTCCTGCATCCTATGTATGGTAATAATAATGGCCAAAAGAATGAGAGGGAGCACATGAAGCAAACAAATCTATTCAAGTGAGGAAGTGGTCACAAAAACCTTGAGCGTTTTCATTGTAATCAGCTCAGAAGAATCTATTTTCCCTGCATTGATAAACGTAGCAATTTTTCCCAAACCTATTGGCTGCAAAAGAAGATATAAAAAAGATTGAGTATAGCAATACAATTGACTAATAGATTGAAGAATAAAGGGGAAGGATACACAACCAAACAGAGAAGGTCCGGATGGAGAACAGGCAAATAGTCTTTATTGGTTTTTATATATATGCAAAAGAAATTCTAAAAAAGTCTCAGATGGAGAATTGCATTGTTGCTCACAGGTAACCATCCATAAATCTCAGTATTAGTGTATTACAATGTTCAAAAGTATAGGAATTCAGAATTCCACAATTCTAAGTGATGAACTCTATTAATAGATACTAAGGCATATTTTCATTTTTCCCAATGCAGCAAACGTCAAAGTTTGGGTTAAATACAAAGAAAAAGCATTAAATAAAAAAAAAGATATATAATCAGGAAAAGATATACCTGAAAAGTGAGGCTAAATGGGTTCTTGAAGCCACGTTTAGGCATCCTACGACGAAGAGGGGTTTGGCCTCCTTCAAACCCCAATTTTGAACCTTTTCTGGCTCGCTGGCCCTTGTGACCCCTCCCAGCAGTCTTGCCCTTTCCAGACCCAATACCACGACCTTTCCTTGTCTTCTGTTTTCGGGGAACGTTACCTCTTAGATCATTCAAGCACAGAAGACTATAAGCTCTAAGACCATGAAAATTTGGGTGTGCGTTGGGAATAAATGTAGCACCAATGTTGGCAGAGTGAGAAGGGAGCTGCAAGGGATGAAATTGGATGGATGGGTATCCGAGAGCGGATTTGTTGTGAATCGAGCTTCGGATGATTGAAGTTGAGAGAACAGAAAGCCTTCTCCTTAGCATTTTTCTTCTATTCTAATCTTTTACTAACAAAGAGGAAGTGTTACTTTGAGACAGTAACAACCTCAAACCTTAAAACCAACAAAAATAGAACCATATACAAAAAGGTTTAAAAAATCATATAATATGAACCACGCATTAGTTAATTAAAATTGCATTCCACTCACTTTTAACTAAAATCAATTTTCGACACCGTGGAACCAAACATGTGTGTAATTCAAATCCAAGTTTCCAATCAATAAAAAGAAGTGAGTGTTGTATACAAAACTCAAATGCCAAAATGTGCAACCAATAATCCTAACATGAAAAACCAGCTCCAAAGTTATAAACCTAGAGAACATGTAAGCATCAAAGAATGGCACTATTCAGTGTGATATCATATCTGCCACAGAAACACAATCTCAAAAGTAAAGAGGTTCACAACCCAAAGCACGTAATTCTGATCCACATTATAAAGAAATGCAATTTCATACATATAAGTGTCAAATAAAACACCTAAAATGCAGCTCTCTAAATTCACATGATGATAACATACACAACCCATACAAGAGAGTAATCAAACACTTAACCATTCTTTGGAAATAAGAAACAGAAACCTATCCAACAGTTATTCAGACACTTCATGATTCAATTGGTGAACTTAACTAGCACTCATTCGACAATAAAATTTCAGTTTCAATTCAAATAATTAGATGGATAAGCTACAAATTAACCATTACAAAATCAATGAAAGTAAAAAACAAACATCACAGAATAGAATCCCACCCCTAAATGACCTTGAAAAGCAAAACTCTGTATATCTATATGTCAAAAAGATTTGATATTTCATATTTAGTAAACTGACATATATAAATTAAATTAATAAGCTAGATTTAGTTATTGAAACCTAAACAGTGAAAAGGACGGAGAATTAACCTTGTGGCTCGAAAGTTGAAACAGATAAAAACCTAAACAAAACATGCAGTCGTGTTCACTAGTGACATTACAATACTAATGATATTCAACACATACATGACTGAAATCTAGAATAATCCGCAGATTGGCAGGAGCTCAAAGTAATCCTACACACAGAGATGACACCTCTAAGCCCAGAAGAAAAATCCTTGCAAGTAGTAGTTACTCCTTAACCACATTTTCTTAAGTTATCTCCGTAACATACACAACAACATATAGAAATTTGAAACCAACAAACCCTTAATTAGTGTAATATATCATTGCAAGCAGCATATGAATTGATTATATGGATCCATATAAGTAAAGAACACCCAAATTCCTTTTGACAAAAACCCTAATATAAAAACCCAGCTAAAACCCTAGCAATAGCGTACTGACCGATTAATTCCGGAGAAGAGGTTGGTTAAGGCGCGGCGAGATGGGAGATTGATGTGGTGGAGGAGAATGTTGGACGGTGCGGTGGAGAAGAGTTTGGGGCGGCAAGGTGGTGGGGAGCAGAGTGTTCGGCGGTCGCCTAGGAAGCTACCGATCGCGACAGTGAGAGGGGTGAGAATGATGGAACGAGACCTTGGAGTGAGAAATCAGAAAGAGATCAGAGGGAGTGAGACACGGTAACAATGAAAAATATCAATAATATAACAAAATTAATGACTCATGGAAAACACTAAATTAACCTTTTCTCTTTGTCCTCCACCTCATCAATTTGAGAATATTTTGTGTCTAAAATTTACTGTTACAATTAAATAATATTATTGGTTCTAATTCAAATATATTCACTTTAATTTATGTACAAATTGCAAACATTTTTAGTCTTTATAATTTACCATTTGTTTTATTTTTTTTTCAAATTTAATTCATGTTTTTTATTTAGTCTGTGTTTTAAAGACAGGTTATGCAGGTGTTAATCTATATTTTGGTATATATTTGATATTTGACTGCAAATTTATCCTTTCATTTTCTTTAAATTGTTTATTGTTTTCTTTCACTTGATGGATGTTTATTATGTTGTTGACTGTGATCCAGGAATTATAGGTGTAGTAGAATGAACTATAAGTTGAGGTTGTAGTTTAAAAGTTGCTCAAGGTACTGGCTATGTTTCTATAACAGTAAGAAAATATTATTCTTTTTATTGTCTCCTGATTCTCTCATTTTTTTGGCTTAGAGTTTCGTGAGTTTTAATTAGTTTTAATAATAATCATTTTCCTCTTTTAATAATAATCATTTGCAACTTATATGTTCCTCTTTTAATAATAATCATTTGCCACTTATATGTTCCTCTTTTAATAATGATTTTCATTTTTGTAGGAATAATCTCCAATATTTATATTTATATTAAACTTATATTATTTTTAGTTAATATTAAAATTGTTTTTACTTTTGTGAATGTGCAGTAGTTGACAAAATTAAGGTATTCACTGGTTTTGGTCAATGAACTTTCGATTTAACTTTCTCCAGTTTAATTATTTTTCATGTTTTTTATCAACATTTTGAATTAAAATTTGAAGATTTTTCAGTTTCATGTGTATATTTTGTTGCAGAAAACTATTGGAGTATATTTCGATGACACTATTGGATAACACCAATTTCCATGACACTATTTGCAAGCACGATTTCATCGTCGTCGAGTTCTATGCCCTGTAGTATATTTCGATTCTGCTACTTTTTACGTTAATACTCGATTTATCATTTTTTTTGTCTGATTTACTTGCTATTACTCTTTTCTATATTTAAATTTTGATCATTCTTATATTGATTCCCTTAATTTATTTTCATTTTCAGCTTATATTTGTTCAAAAGTTCTATGATTATGCAAATGCAAATGTCGAGGTTCGTTCATGTTGATTTCTGCAGTACGAAAAAGTTGCTTATATCTTGAGCAGTCTTGAAACTCCAATTGTTTTTTGCAAAAGTTGATGCCAATGAGGAGAAGAACAAGGATATGAAATTAAGAGATTTCCAACAATTAAGATTATGAGGTACTGGTTTTCAACACAAGTATTAATTTTTTGCACAAAAGTATTGATTTTTGACACTTAATATTTGAAATGCATTGTTGAATGTGATGGTCAGTCTCAAGTCCTATTTTACTTTATTTGTGATGCAGATCATGTCTATTATTTCCATGCTTTTGCTAAGATCCCCAGAAAATGCAGCTTGTGCCATTGAAGCCAATGTTGGTGACCTTGTTATTCAAGCCATGCAGAAATTTCCTGCACCACACCAGATGCAAAGAAACTTATGTCTTATGATAAGAAATTTAGTAGCGAGAAACCTATAGAACATGTAAGTTCATAATTTGTGATGTTTACAGTGCAAATAAAATCTGAGTTTTTTCTAACCATGTGCAATAATTTGATCACTTATAGATATCTTGAAACACATGCCATAATTCAATATGGTTTTCTAGCTTAATAATTCCAGCTTACACAATTTAACAATTTACATTGTACATCACTATTATTCTTAATAATGGAATTGAGAAATACATAAGGAAGGCAAAGCAAACACATGCCAACTGTAAGGAAGCTGCTACTGATGCCTTGAGGAATTTGGGGATTAAAAGTTACAACTTATAGCAAATGATTTTTTTTGTCTCTGTCATTTTTTGTGTACCACATAGATTTGGGAGGTCTCTTGAACTACTTCAAAAAAGGGATTGTTGAGTTTATACCACATAGATTTTGACAACATGGCATCGCAAGTGTGTAAATACTTTTTTGGTTGATCTTTGGGACAGTTGTTATGATACTCTCAATTGGTTTATCTTTAAATGCCTTAATATGATGTTGTGTTTGTGAAATCTGATTATTTTCATACCATTTTTGTTTTATTATTACGAATCCTTATTAATAGAAGCAAAAAGTAAAGCAGAAAGTTCCATATCAGAAGCAGTGGAGAAAGCCGCAACTTCTGGAATGTTGGATATCCAAAATGAACTAGAAAAGTGTATTGAAGAAAGACGTAACTTTTCTCTTGCATTTTCTATACTGGTTGCTCGAACTCTACAATTTATACACAACATTCTTCCCTTAGTTTAATCGGAAGCTCGTTAAAAATTAAAAAACGTGGATGTCATACCTCAAATTTTTCCTACCCTTGTATCTTTTCACATGGTTTATTGCATTGCATTTTGTTGTACCCCAAAAATTTTCCTCTCATTTATCAAGACTTTCCTCACAAGATTTCTTTGACTCAAGACTGGATTAGGGTTTGGTCAGCTCAAGGCATATCATCTTGCACTGATGATCCAAAATTAGGGTTTTAGGTTGCACAAGGATTTTTGGACTATCAATGCTTCATGTGACTTTCAAACATCATTATGGATCCATAAGATCACTCAGGACAAATTTAAAGCCTTGAACCACATTTTTGATCAGACAATTGACAGTTGACCTAAAAATCAGCTGTATTGGGGAAAAAAATCAACCATGGCCAATTTACAGTCAAATTTCATAATTCTTGATCCACATCAACATTTTAATCTTATATGTATCATTTGGTCAAGTTTGGATCACAATTCCTCAAGAAATTTGATCAAATCACCAAAAGGGCAAAATGGTCAAAATTAGGGTTTTGACTAAGAAAGGGCAATTTCTGATTTTTTTTTTAACCTAGCAAAAGATCAATTGATTTAAAGCATGATTTCAAGGATTCAATTCATCATCTTGACCTAATGGCATAGTTCAAAACATTTCAATTTCATCGGATTGACAGATGAAATTTGCAGTCAACTGATCAAAAGTCAACTGTACACTAAAAAGTCAAACTTTGACTTTTTGGTCAAAATCAAGTGCCAAGGGTCACAATTCATCAAAACATGTCAAAATGTGAAACTTGTTCATCAAGAAATCCAAGTTTGAAGATTAGGGTTTAAATTTAAAAATTTTCTTAACTTAGAAAATTTTCTAAGTATAGAAAATTTCTTATTTTTTCTCAACTTTAGGCCATTTTTTCACCATGATGCATAATGATTCAAAGAAAGTTCCCAATATGAAAGTTGTAGATCTCCATGAAATCTACAACTTTTCTTCACACACTTTTCCATAAATATGTCTGGATCTCAAGATATAAATTTTTGAATACATGCTCATGAACTAAATAACTTAGTGAAATTTTGCCCTAATTTAGGCAGGTTTTGGACCCAACTTCATGGAAATTTCTCACCTAGTTCCAAGAGGTATCTTGAAATTCATTTCAAATATGAGTTGTAGAACACATTGCAAGCTTTTCAAAATGTACAAGAACTCCTCAAGATCATTTTTGAGTAGGGAGAATCGAAGAGATGAAGTTGGAAATTTTTCACTTTTTGTCCAAGCCATTTCATGAAGAACAAAGTTCCAATCAGTACCTATGTTGCCTAATCCCTGATTTACAGGTCCCAAACTTGTTCCTTACTCCTTAACTTAATGCTTACTCAGTTGACAAAGCTTTGATCCAAGCCCTAGATCCATTATCCAAGTTGTAATTCCATAAATGGCATAAAGTGACCATTGCCATTTTGAAAAAACTCAACTTTTGCCACTTTTCAATTCTTGAGCATTGAACTTGTCTCTATTGTACATAGAAGTCTTGCAGGACTAAAGCAAATTGTACAAGTTCATACCAACCCTAAGAAAGCCAGTACAAGCATGGTAAGCCTTGTCCCTTCACTTTACTTCAAAAGCAAGAAAGGTTGCAAAAAGGTGAAAACTGGCACATCTGTTGGAAGGTTGACATGAAACCAATTCCATACTAATATACAAACATAACACAACACAAGACACGACTACTAGAAGCCTGAAACACTCCCAAGCTTCAAAACACCAGAAAAGTGTCAAGACTTGCAGTTTTTGCATAAGCATACCAATCTCTCATTTGGCTCGTGCGTTTCAAGTCTTGATCATCAAAACATCTTACCTACTTGATATCTAACCAATCCAGACCTTCATCCCTGAACTGTAACCATTTCTTCATCATCTGTCATTTTTGTTTTCAAAGCTTGCAGGTTGACTCACTATAAGAAAAAGCTTCTCCAGCCACGTGAAGTTGCCACGTGATTTTCATGTGGCTAAATAAAACTAATTGCGACGTGAAAATCACGTGGCAACGTGTTTTAATAATATAAAACAGCTACAATAAGTGTGTCAGTTACGTTTCGTTGTTAAAAAAAGTAGCAACGTGGGATTCACGTCGCTAATTAAAATATCACAAAATTTAATTCAATCACAACTTCCAACACTGGCGTGTGCAGGCTTTGAAGAAAGAGAAAGCAGTTGTATATTTGTTGCGACGTGAAAATCACGTGGCAACGTTGCAGCGTGATTTTCACGTCGCTACGTGGTTTATGTAACTTATGAAAACGTTCCACAACGTTTCTATTTTATAACTTCTTCATCTTCAACCTTCACAAAAAAATTTCTTCCCCACTCTTCAACCATACCCATTTTCTTCCCCAAAAAATTTTCTTCTCCAATCTTTAATTCCTACCATCTTCATCCATTTTGTAAGGTAATTTCAATTTCATGTTTTATATACTTTGTTAATAGCTTTTGATGTGTTATTTTGAGTATAAATTTTTTTCAATTTTTCTTTGAAGGACAAGAAGAAGATTGAAGTATAGATTGCAAAAAGGGACAAGAAGATTGAAGGAGTTACAAGATAAAAGGTATGTCTTGAATTATTTTTTTTGAAATTAGTATATTTTCTGATTTTGATTAATTTGCATTGGGTTAAAATTGTTGAATTTAGGTTTTTTATATATATATATATATATATATATATATATATATATATATATATATATATATATATATATATATATATATATATATATATATATATATATATA